CTTTACTGGCTCCATCCCAGCCTCTTTGACCTGTCTGTTTCCTCTCCACCTATCCTCTCCTCTATCCATCTTCTATCCGCCTCCCCCTCTCTCCCTATTTATTTCAGAACCCCCTTCCCCTCCCCCATTTCTGATGAAGGGTCTAGGCCCGAAACGTCAGCCTTACTGCTCCTATGATGCTGCTTGGCCTGCTGTGTTCATCCAGCTCTGCACCTTGTTGTCTCAGATTTTCCAGCATCTGCAGTTCCTACTATCTCTGATATCATTTATATTTTATTACTTTTCATGCAAAACAGTTTTTTATGCAAATCAGTAGAAAGTTTCTTCTTTGGGAAGCATCTATTATCCTTTAATTAGAAAATCTTGTTTGCATATCTATTTATTGTAATGTGTTCCATCATACCTTGAGGGGCAAAATTAGTGAATCTTTTGCCACTTCTGGAAGACTGGTTAAAGAGTAGTCAATCCCAACATATTTGTCAATTTCTTTTGTCACTGAAATAGTAAAAAAATTGGAAACACATTAAAATGTTGACAAACCTTTTCGTGCTATTCAGTGTAAGACATGAGAACAGAATAGTGTGGACTAAGAAAAGATCGCCAAACTGTGATTCACCAAGTCTACACCTCCTATTTGACTACATACAACCTACCTGGATTCAGTTCATCCAAATTTATTTAATCTGACCACATAACTATGTGTAAGATGCCACTTTGCTAAGAGAAAATAACTTTAATGTTGTATATCTGCAAACCGTTGTAATAGATTTCTATTATCACCATTGGGTCTGAAATTCTAGTCGATAGTTCCATGGATTTGTTCAGTTACTAAGGAATCACATTTGCTGCCTGTCAGCCTTCTGACACTATCTCCTTTTCTGATGATTTATTTTATATACATATATGGTACCTTTCTATTATATCAAGTATACATAGAAACCACCCATCCAGGCCACGGTTTATATTTCTCCATGTCTGATTAGATTATCAATGATCTGATTTCATGTTTTTGTTGACATTGGTAGGTGGTCTGGTGGTGTGATTGATCATTTTTATTTCTTATTTTAATTCATGTGTATTTTCTTTCTAACCTTCTGTTCATTTATGATGCTTTACTGAAGCCATTATTTTATATCTAATTAGTGTAGCTCTTTTGCCCCCTTTGTTTTACTTATCCTTTCTGGTTATGTTTAATGTGGAACATTTAATTGGCAATCCAGTTCTTCGTGCATCTAAGTTTCAGTTACTCTCAGGGTGTATCAGGTTCCTCTTCATGGACTTCTGCTTTCAGTTCCCCTGTTTGTTTCAGATACTGTGTACACTGATAAACAGGCAGGTTAATTCATCTTTTATAGTTGTTCTTTTTATTTTATTTTTAACAGTTCTTCATACTTCTGTTTTATGACTAGTTATTCGATTACAGCTCATCTTTATTACCTCAGCCTCATTTAATTCACATTCTCCATTTTTATTTGCAATTTAACTTATTTTCAACAGATTCTTTCCTTCATTTTAACAGATTAAATTGCTATTAACAGGCCTTTATATCCTTTCTGTAAAGGCACTGCTCCAGCTCCAGTTCAGATGGCACCTATATCACTGGTACTGCTCCTTCCAGTGCTGCTTTGCTGCCAATGTCCTATGAAATGGACACTCCTCCTTACCACAGCAAATATTCACCTTCCTGAGTTTGATATTTCTTTGCCAATTAACACATCAATAAGGTGGGAATCCCAAGAATACATTTGAGTTTCTTTTATTCATAACATCCCATACTCTTTTCTTCCCTCATGTAATAGGACCTCCAGTAGCAGGTGGCGACAGTGAAGGAGTACAGTCGAACAGACCCTGTGAGTCTTTGGCCAAAGGTGGATTCATGGGAAAAAGGAGCAGGTCAATATAGGATTCTCCAACTCAATGTAAACCACAGGCTTTATTCTATGTGAGTGCTGTAAATAATTTCTTGTATAACCTGAATTTCCCTTCATGTTTGTGATGACTTGTTGCCAGCAGAGTAAAGAATCCTTACTTCATGCTCTTTGGGCTATCTGTGTGTTCACATCTCATGTTGCAGCTATCTCATTGTGATCCAAATTGGAACCAACAATTGAATCCAAACCTGATCTTTCCAAGTTTCTTTCCATTTGCTCTGAGATGTAGTTTATTTTTACACCAGGTAGACAACACAAACTTTTGGTTCTGCATAAGACTATGGAAGACACAATCTTTCCCTCTAATAACAAAATCATCGCTGATCAAAATCTTTCTATTCTGCCCCTTCTCCAAAACACTCCTCCTCTCCAGACCCTCACACCTCTTGTGTCACCTGCTCCATAGAATGATAGAATCCCTACGGTGTGCAAGCAGGCTATTCAGCCCATTGAGTCCACAGCGACACTTTGAAGTCCATCCCACCTAGACCCACCCCTCTAACCTATCCTTGAAACCCTGCATTGCCCATGGCCAATCCACCTAGCCTGCACCTCCCTGGACACTATGGGCATTTTAGCATGGCCAATCATCTAACCTGCAAATCTTTGGACTGTGGGAGAAATGTTGGCGTAGTCAGCTTTCAGGCCATTTGCACAGGCAATAACTACATTGTATTTATTGGAATAGACCATTGACTCTGGGATTTCCTTGGCTTCACTTTCCTGCTCATTAAGTGTCATAATCTCTTCTTACTGCACCTGAGTTTATCTTTGAGAAGTGACTTTGTTATAGAGAAACTGACTCAAAAATTACTAACTGTGTGTCCCCTTTGCTCACCCATTTCTCTATGTGTCAGGGTATCTCCAACATCAGTTTTAACTCATTATCTGAGCCACAGTGTCTCCATGCAGAGACATTTACAGCAGTCAAAGACAGTATCTGCATACTTTGAAACATTGCAGTCTGGAGAGAGAGTTGTACTGCCAGTTGTTTTATATTTAGTTATTAGTTTTAATTTATTTCTATATGCAGTACAATTTTGATTTGTTGATGGCTTTGTGGAGTAAGGGGTTCATGTAAATCAATGATATAACTGATTACATAACCATGACACGAGCAGAAAACATTCAGAGAGGAAAGTTGGAAATGGAGACTGAGAGAGAACTAACATTCTGCATTAGACTGTAGTAATATACACGCAGTAGTGAGAATAAAGAGTTGGGATTACTTTATTGTGTTTATGTCCAGATATATGCATATGAAAGTTGCCATATCTTACCAGACTATAGGGCTCCTCTCTCATTAAAGAGAGATGACTGGTGGTGATTTAACCTGAGGGCCATCATACCTCAGATGAGGGGAGAGGTTGAGGTGGAGAGTCCTTCATGCCAACTTCAGCTGGTGATGGAAATTGAGCCCATACTGTTGGCATCACAATGCTTTGAAAACCAACTGTCCGGCTAACTGAGCTAGACCAACCCCACGTTCAGATATACTGGTAGAATACAGCAGCTAAGATTGTCCATGTGGATCAACACTGAAGGGGACCATGACACATCTATGCGAAGGTTAAGGGCTGACTAGACACCAGTGCAAACCTTCCTTCCATGGTCAAACACTGTCCCAAACCAAAAAAGGCCTGATTGAATTTCAGATTAATTTGTGATTTATTACCCATTTGTTTATTATTTTGCTTGTTTTATTATTTCCTGAATTATTATTTATTTTTGTATACTAGATTTTAATAAAATGATATTCTGAATCCTTCCATGTTTTTATAAATCTTCCATTGTATATAACAATTTTAAGCCCTGAAATCAGATTAATTAGTTAAACATTTGACTTAAGTATGTAATAATTGAAATACGTACTCTAATTGTAAGGTATATTAAACAAAAACTATAATTCCTCTGGCTCCACTGCTCTGCGCTCTTTAGCTTTGCAGATTTGTAGAGTCATTACAGCACAGAAGGAGCCCACGCTGCACATAAACTTCATGCCAGCTGTTGGCAAAGCAATCTGGTCAATCCCATTCTCCCATTCTATCCCTGAAGCTCTGTAAATTATCCCCCATCTGATTTCCTTTTGAAATTATTGATTATCTCTGCTTCCACCACCCTCTTAGACAGAGAGTTCTGGGCATTATTACTTGCTACATATATTAAAAAAAATCCTCACAACTTCCCCCCCACCCCCCCAACTATAAATCTTGCTCAAAACCAATAACGTGTGTTCCCTAGTCCTTGCATCGTCAGCTACTGGGAACATTTCTTTGTCTAACTTAATCAAGTTGTCATAAATATTGTGCATTTCTATCGCATTTCGTCTCAGTTAAGGACAGCAACCCCAGCTTTTCCTTTGCAGCAAAATTAATTGATGCCTGGAACCATCCAGATAAAACTCCTCTGCACCCTCTCAAGGCCCTTAACATCTTTCATGAAGTGTGATGACCACGACTGGTCCAACACTCAAATTGAAACCTAACCAGGGTAGCACAGTGACTTAGTAGTTACACTGCTGCCTCACAGTGCCAGCAACCTCGGTTCGATTCCAGCCTTGGGTGACTGTCTGTGTGGAGAACGCACGTTTTTTCTGTGTCCATGTGGGTTTCCTCCCATCGTCCGAAGATGTGCAGGTTAAGTGTATTGGCCATGGGAAACGCAGTGTTACAGGGATAGGGTAAGGCGGTGGGATTCTATAAGGCTTCAGCACACATTCCCAACATCTGTACTCAGGAAAAATATTTATTAAAGAAAGATACCATATACTTTGCTATCAACTCTCTCTACATGTCCTGCCCAAGACTATGACATAGTTCACTAAGCGTCAGTTATCCCTGTGCTCCAATATGCTTTGGAGACTTTGCCAGCCTACAATAGGCACCTCAAAGCATGGAGAAGTACTGTCAGTAGGAAGAAAGATGCAACTGCAGTGTCCTCTCCCAAACAATCCTGCCGAACATTGAGGCATTTATCACTTAAAAGCCATCTTCACTGGCCAGGGCTTGTCATTTGCACTAGACGTCCATTTCGAATACGGTCGCAATTATAAACTGCCAGGAGCTCAGCAGAAATACTTTAGGGATGTTCACAAAGCCTCCCTGAAGAATTGAAGCATCTCAGCCAACACATGGGAGTCTCTGAAATGAAAACAGAAGTTGCTGGAGAAACTCAGCAGATCTGGCCGATCTTTGGAGAGAAAGCAGAGCTAACATTTCAAATCCAGTGACCCGTCTAGACTCAAAATGTTAACTCTGATTTCTCTGTGCAGATGTTACCAGATATGCAGAGTTTCTCTAGCAACTTCTGTTTTTGTTTCAGATCTTCAGCATCCACAGTTCTTTGTTTTGTTTTCAATGGGAGTCTCTGCCCTGTTTCTGATCAAAACAGAGACCTGAGCAGACCCTCAAACACCATATCTATCTGAACCTTCAAACATCACCTCAACTGACAAGAGTTTGCAGACCATGCATTGGTCTTATCAGCATCTCAAAGTGTATCAAAGTGTATTGTACACATTTTATCTTTTGATCCTGAGGTGTATCTAAGAAAAGCAATGGCGTTCCACCTTTGTAGATCTGTGCACATGGACTCCCCTGTGCCTCTGCTGAAAACTCTTTAGAAATGTGTTATCAAGCATACATTTCCTTTTCCTACTTCTTCTGTCAAAAGACAGCATCTCATGCTTCTCTTTATGAGATGCCATCTGGTACTTGTCTGCCTATTCTGCTTGCCTATCCATGTCCTGTTGTGGTCGCTCAGTTATCATCCTCTGTTTGCCATATTCCCAAGTTTGGTATCATTGGCAAACTTTGAAAGTTTGCTCTACACTCCAAAATCCAGAATTTATTTTATGTCAGGTTCTTCCCTACATTCAAGCTATCACAATAGCTTCTCCTCTGCTTTAAGGCTAGACACATCTGGATGGCAATCTAAACCCTATCCTATTTGAGGGTTCTTCTGTGGCACTTATGGAATTATAATTATAGAGCACCAGAAGAACCTTGTATTTCAAAGCTCTAGTACTTAGGTGCAGGATATTTTCATTTTACTAAGCTCCTCTAATTTTCCGAAAAGGATTGTGGCAATGGTCAAATCTCTTAGGAAGAAAACATGCCTTTCCACAGTTTAACATTATTCTGCAACATAATGTTCATTTCATTGTTTCATATTCCTGTTTTTATTTAATAAAGATTTTTCACCTGCCACAATTGTGCCAGTTGTCCTGTGCTGACCTGTAATACTTGGGATTGTATGTGGGATACTTTTACAGTCATTCTAAAACAATTCATCATGAGTAATGCTATCCCAAATCAGCTGATATTGTTAGAGTCTCGTAGTCTGAGAATTTAACATGTTTCTCCCACCTGGCACAGTTTGGAGAAATGGACCTATTTTTTCAGCGAAGATTTTCTGCAATTCAAGACAGATCTGCAAAAGATACGTAAATGATTGTTTCAATTATGGAACTTTACATTTCACATTTAATTACATAACATAACTCATATGATGTTCGAAATGCACCAAATCCTCTTCCCTACTTATTTGTGAATTTAGACCATTTAACAAAGATACCATTATTTACAAAGATTATTTATTTGCATATTATTCTAAGTCCAATATCAGCTTCTATTGTGTTCATATGTGGATGTCCTTATGCATTTTGCTGCAAATTATTTACTACCCTGTAGTATACAGAACAATGAATCTGCCCAAATATTTAATCCAAGGATGGAATGTTGTTGCCATCTTTTATTCTCCCCAGTATTTCATACATTTGGGTACATTGGTGTCCTTTCTCTTGTTAAGTGATGAATTGCAGGTTGTTTGTTCTTTTGAAAATCCTGAATACTTCACTAAACATGTAGTTTAACAGGACTGGAAATCAAGTTTTATTGCATTATGTATTTTGGAATGTAGAAACAAATTTCAGAACCATAGGTGGAAATTTGGAATTGTGTCTTTTGTTTTGGGCCAATGCCAATTTATTTTGTTTGTTTTCCATGAAGATGTGGGGAAAAAGTCATTTTCGTAAATCGAAGCTGGTAAATTGGTTAACAGTGCGGCAGACTCATGGGAACACCACCGACCACAAGTATCCCTTCAAGTCAAACATTGTGTAGATTTTCAACTCTATGGCTGTTTCCTAACTGTGTTTGGGTTAAAATCCTGGAAGTCCCTTCTGAACAGCATAATGAATGTTCCTGCACTAAATGGCCTGGTTTGGTTCAAGAATACTTTTTACAAGCAGAATTAGAGAAAGGTAACAAATGCTGGCATTGCCGGCAACTCCCACATCGCAAAAAAATGTTAAAAATGTAGAGTTATGAAAGTTTGAGTGAACTTCTGGTGAATAAATGGTATTTTTATGTTTATAAAATCATCAAAATTATGCTCAGCATTTCTTCCTGATTAGAATCTGGACAATTTGTCAAGTGTTATTACATCACTGCCTGTTCAATTTTACCTTTTGGGGAGTCTTCTTCTTTTTCTGGGCAGGGTCCCAGTTCCACTTAGGTAGTCTATAGCTTGGACTTTTCAATACATACAGAAACATGAATATTCTAGTTACACTGCTCCCAAATCCAATGAAGCTCTTCAAAATTCTCTATTGTTCATTTCGATTATTGGTGCTTAGGTTTATAACTATCAATATATTTTCTTAATAAAGCAAATAAAAAGCAAGTATTTATTAGAAAAACTGTGAATATTTGATCCAAAAGAGAGTAAGTTGCCTACCTGAATTTGATACGATACTCAGAAACAAATATAAAAGTGTAAGATTTCTAAGGGACAGTGATGTAAAAAAGAGACCTCTTCAAAATCTTTTGATGAAGTTGCATTAATGAAAGGTGCATGGTACATTTATTTGCATAATGCTCATTGATCCTGGAATGAAACAATTCAGCAAGAGGTAATATCATGTTAAATAATATTGACTATTGCACGGTAAAGTTAATCCTTCCTTCATTTATCGATCAAAGATCAAAACTTGACTTGAAATTTCTCCTTTTGTTGCATTGAACCAGATCCCCTTCCTATACTTTTCCTCCATGTCATTGTTAGGAGTTACCAGGCTTATTTTAATGAGTTGCATACAATTGTTGATATAAAACTTAAAGAACAAGCTGAAGATGGATTTTTCATCTCGTTTGTCTTGTCTTCCTTGCACGAACAATCGTGTACTTTTTACATTGATTTTCATAGCTGGGATTTTAAGAGTGGTCGTGGCCATATCCACTGGTCAGAAAGCCAGGGGCAAACTCGTTGTGGCCTGAAGTGTACTTTCCACTCCTGAGGCAATGAACTGCCTGTAGAAAGGGGCTTCCACATCTTTACATGAGGATGCTCTACACCCCTCCCTCCACAAAGGTTTGCTGATGAATGAGAAGACCGGCAGCTCCTTAGTTCTAGCAGCGCCACTAAGAAAGTTGGCCATTATCAGAATTGCAAAAAGCCTGGACGAGCCGGATGAAAGTGGCCCAAGATTAAGGTGAGTTTGTGAGAGTTGCCGGCATCAGGCTGGCAGACTGTGACAAGAGGGAGTGGTTGGTTGCGAGGGTCAGGGCAACCTTTTAGCGTGTTTACCATTGCTGCCACAGGGCCGCTCTATGGGTCACAGTTTGGCTAATTAAGTGGCCATGCTGAACCTGCAGGGAGATTGCCACGATAGACGTGACCGCCATGTGAAGGGACCAAGTGTGGAATCACAGCTGATCAAATGCCAATAGCAAGGAGAATCTTCCACTGGTCTACAATATCTACCTCACTGCTGGTATTTTACCATAGCATTTACAGCACAGAAGCAGGCCATTCAGCCCAACCAATTTTTGTGTTCCACATAAGCTTCCTCCCCATTCTACTTCACCCAGCGCCATCAGCATACCTTTCTATTATTTTCTTTTTAATGTGTTTAACTATCTTCCCCTTAATCTATGGCAAGTAACACTGAAATATGAAGTAAGTAGTTCACAAAAAAAAATCTTTGGTAACAAAATCTTCAAATTCGTGTTACTTTTTATAAGCAAATAATGATGGATGGAGATTTTGGAGATACGTCCAATTACATGTGTTACTCTATCATACCTTGTCACTCAGATATCTTCTTAAGGTTGGTTCATACCATCTGATGATCAGGTTGTACAACCAGCTTAATATAAAAATAGAAATATGAAATATTAACTCCAACCTCCAGAATGATTTGAGTAAGAAATGCAATTATTATTATAAGCATAAAATGTAAAGACCTGATTATCTATTAAGGTTCTCTGGATTCATATTTTATCTTTTAATTCACTGTGCAGTTGTTAAAATCTATTCTTTAAGTCAACACCATTGATGAGTGAAAGAAAGAACAGAATTAAAGACTTGAACTTATAAAACACCATTCCCGTTCTCAAAATGTCCCAAAGTTCTTTATAGTCAATGAAGTACTTAAAAAGTTTTATCATTGTTAGAATATAAGACACCATTCCCATTCTCAAAACGTCCCAAAGTTCTTTATAGTCAATGAAGTACTTAAAAAGTTTTATCATTGTTAGAATGTCAAAATTGGAAGTTCCATTCTGCCTCATTCTGTTCTGCCAGTGATGGCTTTGATGACTGTATTGGTGTACCAGAAGTATAAATCCAGTGCTTGAAAGCTTGTTACTGCCTTTAGTATATCAAGGCAAATGTCCCTAGCACTGACAACAACCGGGGTAAAGAATTGGGGTGGATGTGCTGGATGTCATAAAATCCAGGTTGTGGTGATTTTGAAATAACTTGACAGAGGCCAGTATCCCATCAGCACATCACCCTTTATTTACATGTGGAGAGTCCTTGACACTGATCCAGCTCCCTCAGAGTGGTGGCTTCATGCTATTATCACTGGATTGTTAATCTGGATGACATTTTGCAGACCCAGGTTTGAATCCTACCATGGCAGATGGTGGAATTTGAATTCAATAAAAATCCAGAATTAAGAGTCTAACAATAACCACAAAGCCGTTGTCGATTGTTGGAAAAACCCATCTGGTTCATTAACATCTTTTAGGGAAGGAAACTGCCATCCTTACCTGGTCTGGACTACATGTTACTCCAGACCCACAGTGATGTGGTTGACTCTTAACTGTCTTCAGGGATTGGCAATAAATGCTGGCCTAGGCAGTGACATCTCATCCTGTGAATGAATTTAAAAAGAATACTTCTGGGAATCTTCATCTAACCACAATTGCTAGTACGCATGGCTCAAGTCCAGCTTTGTGAAGGACAGCAACCCCTGCCAGCTTTGCATATAAAACCTCTAAGCGAGGGATTGGGTGTTTATCCAACTGCAAAAAGCCGTTAACTACTCATTTAAAATTGGTGCTGCCCATTCTGCAAACTGGACTGGTTTGATTATTCCTTTACTTTCCAGCCTTCTGATTCCTGCCGCTGCTTTTGCCCGTAAGGCAAATGGCACGGGAAGGCCCTTGCAGAATCACAGAATTGCTTCCTGGTCAACGTGCTCCTTTGATAGTCCCGAGAACTTCCTGAGAATCTACCAGGTATTTAGTTAGGACTCCACTCAGGCAGCCATTTTCTAATCAAAAAATGTTGAGCCAATCACGGTGAATCTTTCTCAACCAATTTCTCCTCTTCAAGCTTGGCCCGAGGCTTTTACTACCATTACTGGTAACTGAACCAGCTGATTCTCATAAGAGACCAGAACCAAAGTTGTAGCCTTAATCTGGAAAGGTTCCCTGGTATCGGTTCTCAGCCTGGCTGAGGTCTTGCGCAACCTTAAGGGTTGGAGTAGAGAGTGAATTTTGTTAAAGATCGGTTCTGCAAATCGCTGATACAGCCACACTGGTATCAACCTCCATTAGAACTGGGTGATCATTTTGATTGGTTCTGATTTGGATGTTGTTGGGTAATATGACTGTTCCAAACCAGATGTAGGTGCAATTTCCTAGGTGTGCACTCTCCTTGGGACTGGCCTCTGAGTTCTCTCACTCAATTTTCATCTAGTGCTACTCTTTTGCTGTCTCCAGTCTACATATCAGCAGCAACTACTATGGCTTGCCAGCCCAGATCCTGAAGACTATTTTAATCATTTGACCGAGGCTTGGCTTTGTTTTGGAGTTTTGTTGTGGGCTGACCTAGAGTCCCTCTGAGTGAGGCTATGCAATTGCTTTCACTCAAGTGATGTACCCCCAGCTCAGTTGGACTAGCGTGGGCTTTCGTTTCCATCGAAATACACTGTAACTCATATCCTCCACTTTGCCACATTTTCCAATGATAAAGCCAGTTGTAGTATCTGTTTGAAGTCCAGTTGGGCTTTAGCTGTTAGGTGCTTTTATATGGTTACATCATTAATCCCACCTACCAAACAGTTTCTCAGGATCTCTAAAGGGTTAAACCAAAGTCACATGCCTCTGCCAGTTGTCTAAAATCCCAATACAGATTCACCTGGTTTTTGAATTGCTGAGTAAAGCCAATAGAGTCTCAGAATTAGAGGAGGCTTGGGGTCATTAGTATTCCTTAACTAAATCTGTCAACTCTTGAAAGGTTTTAGTGCCCTATGCCTCAGGGAAAGTTAGGCTCCTAACAACTGAAAAAGCTGCGAGTCCACAAGCTGTCAGGAGAATTATTTCTTGCTTTTCATCTGCCCCAATGTCCATTGCCTAAAAAAAAATGAATTCTTTCCACAGACTGGGTCCAGTCTTTGACAGCAGAATCAAATGAGTCAAGCTTCCCAAATAATGGCATGATGTTAGAAATCAATTCAAAAATGACTGATGTGAGTGAATTTCTTCAGGAGCATGCTTTTCTCTCATCAGCACTGAAGTAACTCCACAAAGGCCAGTATCCCCTCACCAAGTCACTCTTTATTTACATGTGGAGAATCCTTGACACTCATCCACCTTCCTCAGAGCCAGCTTTCAGAGTGTATAGGATGTCTGAAATGCCTATTCTTACCTGTCAGCCAGAGCTCCCTGTTTGGATTAGGTTAACAGTCCCAATCGGGGAACTCATATTCTATGAGGTCCAACTAGCTCACCTTGTTACAATCACTACAGATTTGTATTGGCAAATATTATCATTGCTCAGGATCCCCAAATGCTAATGATTGGTATAGATAAGGTTGTGTCAGTGAAGTAACTGTACCTTAAATAAATTACGTCTGTAAGTATTCTCCCTTCCCTACATGCATGTAGTTAAGTGAAGTACACTCAAGCACCCTGGATACTGTTATGTTAAGATTTTCTGATGGGTTTGATATTTTCCACGTGCAGGTATGATATCTGGTAAGATTTCTCATTGTGTCTACTTGGAATGCCTCCAGCTTCGAGGATTTGGTACAACACTTTGGATTGTGAGAAGGACAAATAGCTCTATATCTTCTGACTTTGTTGAATGCTCCTTCTCTCACCACCTGGTTTGAGAAAAAGTCAAGAGCAATTCTTGTCACCAGCCTGGCCCAACTACAGCAAGAAGAGACTATCTCTCCTGATACATAAGAAGGGAACATTGGACCATTGTTTATGTGAATTTTGCAGCAATAATTACACAAAATTTGTTACCTATGTTAGAAAGAGAAGTCAATGTGAAAGGTTTCAGTGTGAAAGAGTTTTACTTTTTAAGTAGTTTCCAGAAGGTATAACTTTAAGAAAAAACATAATGGACTGATTTTCCAGTTCCTTTACTTGATGAAGTTTACTTTGGGGCATTCCACGACTCCAGGTTTCTGTGTTCCAAAATGTATGTTTGGACCAGGCCAGTGATATGGTTTGCTTGTTTCTGGACATTGGCCAATTCTGATAAGGCCATACCACTTGAAATTGGGGACAAAGCCATCTTAAGGCCCAAGAGGTGTCCTCAGTGCCATAATCTCAATGGAGTCCAGCCTTAAGGCCTGTTGCCAATGATTTTGGGATAATATTGTAAACGGTTGTGCCATCCGGCTCAAACTCAGGAAACCAAAGGAAGGCAATATCTGTTCAAAATGCATGCCTCTTTCTGACACCTTGGGGGTAACTCTAAGAAATTCAGAGAAACGTAATGCAGATGAGGACTCTGAATCACATTTGGCATTAATCTTATTTTCCTGACTTTTACACAGGAGAAATTTGGTTTTCTTTGGAGAGTGATTGCAAGAAATGTCTTCACAAGTACAAATGAAGTCAGATCTCAACTTCCCCAAGATGAAAAAGAAATCTGTTCCCCATTTAATTTTTTTGGTTACTTTGACCTTCCCTAACGAGGAAGGTATGAAGAATATGATAAGGAAAGAGGTGATTTTTATTAAAGTTAAGAATCTGGATGAAGAACTAAAAATAAAGGCTATTATTAATGAATAGGAGAGTAACAGTTACGTGAAGTCAAACTTAGACTTTCTCATCCTGTACACGATAAATGGTAGAGAAGACCTGGGTGAGATAGCACACCAGAGCTAAAAATTAATCTGGCAAATAATGATTTTCAAGATCAAATGTGGCAATAGTCTCTATTTCAATTATTAGAGTTCAGCAAAGAAACTATCAGCTTGAGCAATGTATTTAGAGTTGAGGAAGAATAAAAGAAAGTTTAGAGGGACACGGGCATGTTGGTGCTCTGTATATAAAACACACAAAGACAAAGAAGACTGCAGGGAGCTAAAATGTTTTATAAGGCAGGGTGATCGAAAAGGAATCAGTTAATCAATAGTTAGAGGTGCGAACTATGGATTGGTCTTTGAAAAATCTCATGCACTCATGATCAAAGTTCATTCTTGATTACCAAGCTGACAAGGATTTACAATGCACAATCCAACCCTCAGAGAACGCACGCTCAGTGGTTATTGCAACTTCAACATTAGGTGTTGGTTAGTAACTTGACCGTGAAATTTGGCATAAAAGCAGAAAATGCTGTACATGCTTAGCTGCCTGGCAAAATTTTGAAAATCATAATAAAAATACACACTTTCACTTAACACACATTGACATCTGCAGAACACATGCAGAAGGAGAAGTGAGAGAAAGAACACAGTTACCTAGCTTTTCCTGAAACATAAACTTGGAGTTTTGAGATGTAACTTGCACAGTCCATCATTGATACAGTAGGGTGGCCTGAATTATCTTTGCCGAACTTAAGGTAAAATGAGATGGCAATGCTGTTGATCTGTGCCTTTACAGTACCATGAGTCCTGCTACAGAAAAAAAAGTAAAATTGATAATGGTTAAGAGTTAATGCTGGAACTAAATGCTCAAAATATGAATTTTTGCAGGTTAACAGGAAACAAAATAAACAAACTCAATTACTCAGTTGGATAAATCATGAAATTATGTTTACAGAAACATAGTAATATCCTGATGTTAATATCTTTCTTATAAGTTATGCGGACTGTTGTGCTCTCAGATTACCTGTGAACTACAAAGACTTGGCTACAAAATTAAAAGAATTCCCTAGGGAGTAAGTCACAGGTCTGTTCATTCAGCTTTCGTTCATATCTGGAGACTTCAATTCCATGGACTGAAAATTTGTGAACTATGAAAGCTTATAGTGTCTAAAATCTCTGTGGTACATCAAACTGTTTCTGGAAACTGGGACTGAAGTCCTGAGAGAGAGAGAGAGGATGTGATGATCACAATCTGGCAAAAGGGCGGGATATGTGCTCACAGGACATCTGACACTGGTGACATCAAAGTTGCTCAGGCCATGGGAGTATCTGAAATTAACTGTCAATGGTAGCTTAGTAAGCATTGGTTGTGTATCAAGGGTTGCCCAATATCAGAATGATATCAGTCAGCATAACTGATTCAAATCACAATACTATAATTATTTTTGAGGTAAAGAGTACTTACAAAATATTTGCTTTAATCTGCCAGTTACCATTCGTCTCAATGTAGCCATTGGACATAGCAACTTTCAGTCCCAAGTTAGGGACCAGGATGATACTCATGTCTGGTAAGTTCACATTACTTATGGTTATCCTGAAAAAAGAATTCTGCTGGATGAAATGTGTTTGTAATTTGAGCAATATGGTTATGCAGTGTACTCAGTCTTGATTTCCACTTGAACGACAGTGCTTCAGTGACATTAGCCAAAAAAAAACATACATCTTTGCGCAAGTGGATGAATTATGATTCACATATTGCAATTATAATTCACACATTATGCAGATATTTTGTAAAGCTAAAGATGGAGTGCTACACTTTCACATACTGTGTAAACTGAATTGTCAATTATGTCAGTTATCAGCTGGGCATGTTACATTAAGATTGCCTCTTAAGTCTTGGATGAGTTGCTACTTCCTTCAGTGAACAGTGGGAAGACATAAACTGTTGTTATTGCCATTTGCCATAAACCCTACTCCAATGCCTACAATGGCGTTTACTTCTCTGTTATTCCAAGCAAAAAATGATTGGAATGCTGCAACAATCATACCCTTCAGCTTCCAACAAAGCTCTTCCCACTATTGATGCCTCTAAATTTAAGTCAAGAGTCCATCACCTTTCTCTATCAACTCTATAAGCCCCAACTTATTAAAAACAAAGCTGCCTGTTTCTGTGCTGTTTCCCTTCCTCTCCATTCTCACTTATTGGTTTTCCAATGCAATGACTTCACTGCTTCATAGCCGTGCAACTTTCTCTAGATTTCTAAACAATTTTATTTCCTTCAATCCTTGGACTCTTGTCTCCAATGTGACAATTCCTCCCTTCAGTCCACCAGAAGAAGCAAGATTTTAACGGACTCAGTACCATTTTTCCTCTGTAAAATTTTTCACCTTTGTTTCCTTTCAAAACGTTGGAAAACCTTCTTCTATTCTTCAGTGACTTCTGTTAGTCTTTCTCCCATTAGTCCTCAGTATTTTCTTGTTAAGTACACTGGAATGTTTGGCACTAAAAAGTTGCAAGCTGTTGTACTCTTTCAGATATTTTTCCAATAGATTTTTTTTGTCTGTGTTTTATCATTCAGATGATATAGTTCTAATTAGTCCATTCAACAAAATTTGTTATTTAAGCTATGATACCAGTGTGCAAGGAGGTTACAGTCAATTAAACCATTTTAGGTCACTAATGACACAAAAGGAAACATTTGTGCATGCCAGAAATAAAAAAAAAATTTAGCAAGGAGGTCAAGCAGCATCTGTGGAGAAGGAAATTGAGTTAATGGATTGAATTTGATGACACTTTGGTGATGGGCTGTGTAGTGTTTGGAACGAGGGCAGGTCGATCCCATTGTACATGAGATCTCCAATTGGCCCAGGTTATCAGCTCCAATCAGGGAGCCTTCGCTGACAGATTTAAACAAGAGATTGAGAGAGTCTCCTCACTGTAGGTACTGACTCTGAGCTAGTTGGTCAGCATCCATGTGCGGTGCACGTGTAAAGAAAGGGTGACTTGGTGATGGGATACCAGCCTCTGTGCAGATATTTCAGACTGGGAGAGGTTAGAGGTGGTTGTTAGATGGCAAGTGACAACTATGCACAGATTGCCTAAAATCCTACTGCTGTTGTGCCAAAACAATGCTGGAATATTGGATTCAACACTACAAGGAACAGTTGATGCAAATGACATTGATGCATTTAAGGGGAAGCTAGAAAAACAGGTGAGTTAGAAAGGAATAGAAGAATATTTTAGTATGTGGAATGAAGGAGAGTGGGAGGATGATTGTATGCAGAGTAAGCATAATCACATGCTTTTGGTATGATCGGCTTTTCTTGGTGCTGTAAATACCATGGCTTGGATTTTCACCATGATGGAGAACCTCTCTGTGAGATTTCTCCTGACTATGGTCCCACCCTAAGAATGAAAATTGGGCTCATGTATTAGAGAGTGGATTTAAAATAAATCGTTCATAATGTTTAAAAAAACAATTTCTGTCAGTTTAAAACCATGAATGTGGTCTAGTTTTTTTGTTAGCCTTTGTTGGGGACCTGTTCTTTATGTCTAGGTCTCTTTTATTTTAAAAAAGAACTTCTCCACAAACATAAACACCTTTGACTCTCACATTTTTTTTGCATTTTGGCTGTTGGGATTACTGTGCTAAAATTAGCAGGAACGTAAAAATAGAGAGTGAGAATGATAAAGAGAATTGTGACCAAATTCGGAAGGGCATAGGCTGGTTTGTAGTTTGGATAGGTAGGTGCCACATAATATAATGAAGACAAGATTAAGGCAAAATGTTTTAAGAGGAAATATACACTTTATAGAACATAGGACTTAGTTGAGGAGCAGGTCATTTTGCCTGTTGAGCCTGTTGTACCGTTTGATATGATCATGGCCGATCTGTTTGTGGTCTCAAGTCTACTTGCCGTAACCCTTGACTTCCTTGTCTATTAAAAATCTATTTGACTCAGCCTTGAATATATTTAAAGACTCGGCCTCCACAGCCTTCTGGAGAAAAGTATGACTCTCTGAGAGAAAAACAATTCTCCTCCTTTCCATCTTGAAAGGGAGATTTCTTTTTCTGAAAGTATGCTTCATATTAATGTCCCCTGCAAGAGGAAATATCCTGCCAGTATCCAGCCTATTCAGTTCCCTCACGATCTTGTATGTTTCAGTAATATCACCACTCACCCTTCTCATCTGCAATGAAGAGAGACCTAATTTGTTCAACCTTTCTTCAGAAGAACATAGACCAGTGTAGCACAGGCCCTTTGGCCCACCATGACTGTGCCGATCATGATGCCAATCTAAACTTATCCCGCTTGGTTGTATATGGTCTGTATCCTTCTATTCTCTGCCTGTTTATGTGTCTGTCTAAATGTCTTTTAAATGCTGCTATTGCATCTGCTTCTACCACCTCCTCGGCAGCATGTTCCTGGCACCTACCACCTTCTTAAAAAAACTTGCATCGCACATCTCCTTTAAACTTTCCACCTTTCACCTTAAAACTATGCCTCCTAGTATTTGAAATTTTCACCCTAGGAAAAAGATTCTGACTATCCACCCAATCCACACTTCTCATAATTTTATATACTGCTATCAGGTCACCAGTCAGCCTCCAACGCTCTAGTGAAAACAATTCAAGTTTGTCCAATATCCCCTTATATCTCATTTCAATCCAGGCAACATCTTGGTAAATCTCTTTTGCACCTTCTCCAAATTCTCCACATCCTTCCTAGAGTGTGGGGAGCAGAACTACACATAATAAAGATAGTGCTTCATCCTACAAATGTATCAAGTGAAGTTTCTGTGAACTGCTTCCAAAGGAGTTGTTTCCTTTTTCAAATAAGGACAAGAAACTGTACATAATAATCCAGACATAGTCTCACCAAGGCTCTGTACATCTGCACTTCCATTCTTTGATACTCTATTTCATAAATGACTACATTCCATTTTTGCTAATGTAATCACTTGCTGTACCTGCATACTAATTTTATGTGATTCATGTACCAGGACACCCAGATTCCTCTGTACCACTGAGCTCTGAGACCTCTTTCCATTTAACCACAGTACTACTTACCATCTCTCCCTACCTCGCCTCACATTTGTTATTGCACTGACCCCAATGGCCAGCACTTGTAAATTTTTTTGTTTAATTAGAGACACAGATGATTTAGTAGTGGAGAAAAGAAACATTCACATGTATGTAAACACATCTCCAGATAGAAACAAAAACGATCTGCGTGTTCAGTGGAAAAGTTGAAATTGGTGTTTCTTTTAAACTATAGATTTACGATAAAACTGTTATAAATCTGTGAAAATTGTTTGCTGCTTAATTCAACATACAGACATCAATCTGATAAACAGAAACCATTTACTTGCAACTCTATTTAACATTAGCCCTGGCAGCACCAATTACATTATTAAAATGCTGCTTGGAGCTTTTAACTTTTGAACTTAAAACGGTTTGATTTATCATTGTATTTGCAATATTGAGACACTTGGGTGTCAAACAAAGCAAAAAAATTACAAATCCAAAATGGTCAAAAATGATTTACATTCCTTTTGATGGTGCGATTGGAAACTGGATAATGTAAAGCTTCTGCTATTAAGGGGATTTCAATATCTAGACGTAAGGATTCTAAGGGGGTAGTGGCCTTGACTCAATTCTTAAATCTGAAACACCAACAACTTTTAATATAACTTACGCAATTATTGTTGAGTCAGAAAGGTAAAGTAGACTTAACTATTGTTTTATTGGAAAATTCTATTTTCTCACTAGTGTTATTTTATGTAATAGCCATTCTTGACGCGTACTTAAGGTAAGCTGACTCTAATAATATATAATAACAGCATGATAATAAGGTACATCCACACTATTTAGACAATTACAATCAAGGAAACTATAATTAACATACCTATTTATGTTGTATTGAAGTTGATGTAAGGCATTGGTGTATTTGATGCCTGAAATGTCTGGAATTTTCATATTGAGTAACCTATTTTGCAAAACAGACGTTATGATCTGGCAACCTGAAAAACAATGATACCAATTTTTTTTCAAGTCATTTGAAATGTTTGGATGGATTTTAAACTTGATGAGGTGTTATGGTTGTCAAAAGTCTTCAGCAATTTTCCTGAGTCTTCCCTAACAGAATCATGTGATGATCTAATTTTCCTAACAGACACAAAGGATATTATTATACTGTAACACCTGAGCCTTTGCTCCTAGTCTCTGTGATTCAATGATCCTTGTAGAAGGGCTTGGAAACATGTTGGACTTTGCAGTCAGTCATGCAGAAACTTCAATCACAGTTCATTATGTTGCTCACAATCTGTGACATTTTTGGGCAAAGCTAAATTGGAAGGCTCTTCAACCAGCTAGATTGGAGAATCCTCACCAAATTGCAGATTTCGAACGGAGTTTTAAACTAAAAAAGAGAGTAAAGTTTGGGTCATGGTGATGTGGATTAAAGTCTCCACTCAGTTTCTTGACCCCAACTTCCCAATTTCCTGGCATGGCCAGTGTCCCACTTTTCAGCCTAAGGATCCCTGCTTATTCAGCCTCCACTCAACAACATCAGTGACTTTTATTGATTTCAACTATATGATTAATAGCACCTTCCAAGACATTACATGGTAGTACCATGAGCAAACTTTGGCATTGACCATGTAAGACAGTATTGGAGGAGATGGCCAGATAGGTCAAGAAAAGCCTACAGCCTTGGCACTTGAAGGCACTGTCATCAATTGTGAATCATTTAAAATCAAGAACGTACAAGAGGCCAGAACTGATGTGCAAATAGTTATGAGAGTTGTAGAGATGGGCAAGATCACAAGACCATGGCCGAAATTGAAAGCAAATATGAGAATTTTAAAATTAAAGTGTTGTTCAACTGGGAGCCAATGTAGATCAATGAATCAGTGAACAAGGTTATCTCAGAGTACAATGGGACCTTGATCAGATGGGTCAAAGGGCCAAGGAGTGGCAGACGGAGTTTAATTTAGATAAATGTATTGCATTTTGGTGAAGCAAACCAGGGCAGGGCTCTTAAAGAAGATACCAAGAACTGCAGATGCTGGAAATAGAGATAACACAGTGTGGAGCTGGAGGAACACAGCAGGTCAGGCAGCATCAGAGGAGCAGGAAAGGCAATGGTTTGGGTCAGACCCTTCTTCAGAACTGGGGAGGGGGAAGGGAGCTGGGAAATAAATAGAGGGAGGAGGGATGGCGCTCGGGAAAGGTAGGTGGGATGGTGATAGGTAGATGCAGGTGGGGATTAGTCAGTGGAAGGAGTGGGGTGGATAGGTGGGAGAGAAGATGGGCAAATTGTGTCAGGTCAAGGAGGCAAGAAGAAGGATGGATGGGGCTGGGGAAAGGTAGGTGTCTCTGCTTGCTCCTGCCCCACTGAAATCATCTTGCTTGCGTTGACTCTGTCTTTACCCCCCTGGTCGAGGATCTCCCCATCTATGTTCAGGACACCGCCCTCCACTTCCTCCAAGACTTCCAATTCCCTGGCCCCCAACACCTCATCTTCACTATGGACATCCAATCCCTGGACACTTGTGTCCCCCAAGCAGATGACCTAAAATCCCTCTGCTTCTTCCTCTCCTGCAGGCCCAACCAGCCCCCCTCCACCGACACTCTACCAGAATTTGTCCTTACCCTGAACAACTTCTCCTTTAACTCCTCCACTTCCTACAAACTAAGGAGGTGGCTATGGGCACCCGTATGGGTCCAAGCTATGCCTGCCTCTTCGTAGGATACGTGGAACAGCCCCTTTTCCGCTGTTACACCGGCACCATCCCTCACCTCTTCCTCTGCTGCATTGATGACTGTATCGGTGCTGCCTTGTACTCCCGTGAGGAACTTGAACAGTTCATCAAACTTTACTAATGCCTTTCAACCCAACCTCAAAATCACCTGGACCATCTCTGTCTCCATCTCTGGTAACCGCCTCAACACCGACATCTATTTCAAACCCACCGACTCCCACAGCTACCTAGACTACACCTCCTCTCTCCCACCCTCCTGCAAGAATGCGATCCCATACTCCCAATTCCTCCGTCTCCGCTGCATCTGCTCCCAAGATGGAGAGTTCCACTCCCAGACATCCCAGATGTCCTCCTATCTCAAGGACTGCAACTTCTCCTCTCTGGGTGATCAAAAATGCCCTCAACTACATCTCTTGCATTTCCTGCACTTCTGCCCTCAACAAAAATAAAGACAGAGTCCCCTGGTCCTCACATACCACCCCACCATCCAGCGTATCGATCTCTGCCACTTCCACCACCTCCAATCCGACCCCACAACCAAAGAGATAGTTCCCTCCCCATCCCTATCTGCCTTTCATAGGGACCTCTCACTCTGCAACTCCCTTGTCCACTCCACACTCCCCACCAACCCCACCAGCCCGGCACCTTTCCCTGCAACTGCAGGAAGTGCTACACCTGCCCCTACACCTCCCCCCTCACCTCCATCCAAGGCCCAAAACAAACTTTCCACATCCAACAGGGGTTCACCTGTACATCCTCCAACTTGGTCTACTGTATCCATTGCTCCTGATGTGGCCTCCCCTACATCAGTGAGACCAAGTGCAGACGCGGGGACTGTTTTGTGGATCATCTGCACTCTGTACGCGACAAACAACACCTTCCGCTCGCCAACCATTTTAACTCCCCCTCGCACTCCCTTGATGACACGTCCATCCTGGGACTCCTCCAGAGCCACAATGACGCCACCTGCAAACTGGAGGAGCAACACCTCATAATCCCCCTCGGGAGCCTACAGCCCAATGGCCTAAACATGGAATTCATCAGTTTTAAAATCACCCCACCCCTGGCTTCATCCCATGTCCAACCGTCCATCTCAGCCCCTCCTCCTTGACCTGACACAACCTGTACATCTTCTTCCCCACCTATCTGCTCCGCCCTTGCCACTGACCAATCCCTACTACACCCCACCTGCATCCACTTATCACCATCCCACCTCCCCTCCCCCAGCCCCACACCTCCTCCCTCTCACCTCCTTGACCGGATACAACCCATCCATCTTCTCTCCCACCTATCTGCCCCACCCGTCCCACCAACCGGCCTCACTATCCCTACCTGCATCCACCTATCACTACCCCACCTATCTTCCCCCAGTCCTATTCCTCCTCTCTCTATTTAGTTCCCAGCTCCCTTCCCCCTTCCCAATACTGAAGAAGGGTCCCGACCCAAGATGTCGACTTTCCTGCTCCTCCGATGTTGCCTGGCCTGCTGTGTTCCTCCAGTTCCATACTGTATTGACCCAGGATTCATACAATTAATGGTAGGGCCCTACCAAATAAAGAGAACTAGGGGTGCAGGCACATAGTTCCTTGAAAGTGGAGTCGCAGGTTGGTGAGGAAGGCGATTGGTACGTTTGCCTTCATCAGTCAGAACATTGAGTGTTGGAGTTAGGACGTCATGTTGTACAGGACATTGGTGAGGCCACTTTCAGAACATTGCGTTCAATTCTGCTCTCTCTGCTAAAGATGTTAAACTTGAGAGAGTTCAGAAAAGATTTACAAGAATGTTGTCGGGATTGGAGGGTTTGAGCTATAGGGAGAGGCCGAAAAGGCTGAGGCTTTTTTTCCTGGTGCATTGGAGGTTGAGGGGTGACCTTATAAAGGTTTATAAGATCGTGAGGGGCAGAGATACGGTGAATAGCCAAGGCCTTTTCCCCAGGGTAGGGGAGTTGAAAACCCTGTAGGGTTTAAGGTGAGAGGGGAAAAATTTTAAAAAGGGTCTGAGGGGTAACTTTTTCACGCAGGGGTTGGTGCATGTATGGAATGAGCTGTCAGAGGAGGTGGTGGAGACTGGTACAATTACAACATTTAAAAGGCATCTGGATGGGTACATGAATAGGAAGGGTTTAGAGGGATATGGGTCAAATGCTGGCAAATGGGACTAGATCAGTTTAGGATATCTGGTTAGCGCGGATGAATTAAACTAAAGGGTCTGTTATGTGCATATAACTCTGATTCTATGTCTCTATGAGTCTGGGGGTGCTGATTTTTCACAATTCCCATTGGCACTGATTAATTTTGAGAAGTTATTTCCAGTGAATGAGCTAAAGGCGGCATGGTGGCTCAGTGGTTAGCACTGCTACCTCACAGCACTAGGGGCCAGGGTTCGACCCCACCCTCGGGCAACTGTCTGTGTTGAGTTTGCACATTCTCCCCATGTCTGCATGGGTTTCCTCTAGGTGCTGTGGTTTCCTCACACAGTCCAAAGATGTGCAGGCTAGGTGGATTGGCCATGCTAAATTGCCAGCAGTGTTCAGGGATGTGTAGGTTAGGTGGGTTATAGGGGGATAAGTCTGGGCGGGATGCTCTCAGGGTTGGTGCGGACATGTTGGATCAAAGGTCCTGTTTCCACACTGTAGGGATTCTAAGAACTTTAAGACAAAATTTCAGGTTCCAGCGATCATCAGTCAGAATTCATAGCAGGACACTTCATTACTCAACTTTACCTTAAATTTAAAGAGACAATTTAAAACATAATTATATCATAAAATCTCATGTTAGTAACAGGGTTAACAGTACTTTGTGAGAGTTGGGACATGTGTGAAAGTATGTTGCGTCAGCTCACGAGTGTGAAGGGAAGAATGTGAGTGTCTGGCTAAGGGTGTGTTGAAATAGTTAAGTCTATAAGTAAAAAGACTGCAGAAGTGTTTAAGCAGTTGAGCTGAGTAGAGTGATAATAGGGAGATTTGTCCATTATGGCAGTCAGTTTTAGTAATGGCATGGCAATGAGTTTGAAAAATTCACTCCAAGATTTTGATTTCCTCCCCCTCTTCAAATTTTATTTGTTTCTCAAACCCCCAAATATCATAGTCCCCTTCCAGATTGCTGCATTTCAGTCAATGCCAGAAACTCAAACAATATTTGTAAATTTGTGATATCATATGACTGGACAGTACTAAAACATGAAAATTTGAGATGAAGTATAAAGCTATGAGAAGTGAACAGCTATACAGTTGAAAAATAGATGGTTTACAAAAATCAAAATTGCAAAATATACAATCTGTAGCCTCAGGTAGCATGCATCCTTTTACGTAAAACAACATCCATTCAAATGTTACAGGTAGGAATTGATGACCAGGTTTGATTTTGGTCTTCTTAACAATTGTTCTGTCTGTTATTGGTACATGAATTCATGGGAGAAATGGAACAGACTAAATGGAAACACAGACTGTGTTAAACCTGCACCAGCTGCGTACGCACCAAAGACGCTGCAAGTACTTCAAGCAAATGACCATATCTGAACGTCTACTGGGAGAAGTGCTCAGCCAAGTCCAGGCAGACATCCTACAGGGATTCTCAGCACGGTAACCAAGGGAAGCCTCCAATATTAATCCAGAGGGTTGGGCATGGTCAGTCTGCCAATCATGGTCAAGGAGTCTATATTTTCATTTTCTGGGGAGGGGGCCATGGTCAGCCGATGAGTCTGATGAGTCACGGAAACACAGTTGGGGAGTTGTACAGATATCAGTCAGGGGTCTGGTCACTCATTGCTTCAGGCTGTCTGGATAAGTCTTTCAAAAAGGTGGGTCACAGTCAGTCCTGAGAGTCTCTCCATAAAAGGCAAGGAGTTATCAGGGGTTACTGCTGTGGAAGGGAGACTGGGGAATGTAATTGTGGTGATTAATTCAGAATGCTGGGATGCAGAATGAAGAGTTCAGTCATGGAGAGGGGATGGCAACTCAGTTTCGAAGAGGAGACATGAATGACCATGGAAGGGAAAAGAGTAATGCTGTAGGTTTTACTGGACCACGGAGACTGCATTGACCCAGTTGGTAACCTGGCAGGGTCTAATATTGTTGCTGCCTCTGCTGGTCTTGGGGAATAAGCTCATTTCTCCTCTGCACTAGCACATCTACCAGACTTTCAGGTCCCTGTCTGCAAAGCAGGGCACCCATTTCCTATTGTCTGCCATGTCCAGGGCAAATATCCCCAACTGTGGAGGGTTTGATCCAGGCTGCCAGCACTTGACCTAGTGCGCAGTAGCCTTGAAAAGGTGGGAGCAGCACCAAGGATCCCAGAGTATCTCGGTAATTTTGTGTATTTCCTGCTGTGACAAATGGGACAATCCAGTTGCCATCAGACAAGGCGGGTATGGAATCTAACTAATGAGGCACGTTTGGGTTGATTGCAAAAGAAAACTCGTTTAGATTCACTGTGAGAAACCTTCCAAGAAACCTGAAGAAAATGGCACTTAGCCGATTTTGGCAAAATTCAACCCATGCAGTGAGAGGAATAATATTGGCTTAATTACCCGGCTGCCATAGGATGATGGTCAGCGCAGGAGCTCCACAAATCACCCCAAACTCTGTCAATGCCGTGGTCCATCTTTTCCCAAAGTAACCTCCTCTAATGGCTTTGTGTCACCAAAGGAGAGATTGTGACTGTTCAGTACTGAGATGTGGAGGTGGTATAATGGGACTATTTCAGAGGCTGTAATGACTTTGAAAAGGAGCCCAAACAATGCTAATAGTCGAACAAATGAATTTTCTTTGAGGCCTAGGACTGGGTTGTGGCAGGAACTTGGCACTTCTACGCTTAGTGAAAGGATTTCCATTTTACCTGCTGATTTATTTGTATTTCTACATCTTTGTGATATGTCTGCAAAATGAGATATATACATGCAACAAATACTATTTTGTAGTTCACCCTGAAACACATGAACAGTATAACATTTCTCCCCACCGCAAATCTCCCCACTGAACAGACGAAGATTATAGAAAAGGCAGGCAATCCTTAAAGTTGCCTCATGCTAAAGCAGTGGATCATCACTAGCAAATGCCAATTCCTTCAGTGAGTTGCTTAAAATTAAACCTTAGTTTGTAAGTGGCATAATATTCCCTATGCAAGCTGCCTTTTTATCCTGAGAACAAGTGGAGATTGTTGCAGAAAAGAATTTTAGAAAGTGCAATGTAAATAAAGGAGAACAAATGCTTAGCTACCAAATTGGAAAATCTTTTGTTAATATTGAAAAGCATTGCTGAGGGACTCCGTTTTACCTGGTTTCATATTGATTTTCATTCTTCAAAATTGTTATTTTACACCTGAATACCACAAATGGGGGTGATTGTGGAGCAACTGATTATCAAGCTTCATACAAAGCAGATATAAAAATATTTAGAAAAATATTAACATTCTAAGCACTTCAAACTATCTGCATATACGATCAATATAAATGATTAGATATTATATTATGATTACGTACCATAATTAATTCCTTTTGTGGTAATTTTTCCTTTAAATCCAGGGTTAATGGCCCTCACACTGACTGCATGGAAAAAAAAAGCGCAGAATACAAGATCTCGAGTCCACTTCATTGTGAAACCTTGAGCCTAAAAGTTAAAATTCACATAATGAATCATCAAATCTATTGCCCAAAAAATTGTTAACCAGTTTTCCACCAAACTCCACCACCCTCAGCCAACATTACAAAAACAGATTATCTGGCTGTTATCATTTTGTTGTTTATGTAAGGCGAGTGCCTTTTCTTGTTAACTCCTTAACTAGGTGAACCTGACAGAAGTCTTAAAATCAGTACAAATTCCTTCAGTATTTGCCACACCACTCCCTGCAGATGTTTGCAAAATACATGAACAATACAAAGCACTACATACATGTGATAGGAAAGCAATAGCCAGAAGAATTTAGTCTTCAATTAACATGTAAGTTGTTGATGATCACTTTAAATACTGTTGGAAAAGGAACAGTTGCAAATCCCTTTTTATACCTTCACATCTGCCCTTCATGATGCTTAAAGTGTGTTCAGTTGTTCAAGGTTATAAGAGGATGCTGGCAGCATTGGTATTAGATAACATGCCTGCCTGCTGTGCATAATTGTGAAGAATAATAATTGCGTACATGCCAGTCCTTTACTCGAAGGTGCAGGGTGGAAGTTATTTTCAAACCTTAAGGGGTCATTCAGTGCCGAATAAAGTGAGTCTTAATGACATTGACTTTGCTCCCACTGCCTGTGAGCAAATGACAAAATGCAACATTTATTTGGTACACTTTAAAATGTTCACCGGTTAAAAAGATTGTTCGCGAGGCGAATTTCCATGCCTGAAACTCCAGGTGACAAGCCAATAGAAAAGAATGTACCTTTCCTGTCAGGTGGTAATAACTGGATTCATTGTCCTTTCCAAAATGTCAGTGATATTCTGCACTCTTGGAATGTCTGCAGTCCAGGGAAAATTCTGTACAGCGTGCTATTGTCACAGGGAAAGCAATACAATACTCCTTGAAAATATTCTATATTAGTTTCTTGATAGACAGCAGTTTCAGAACACGTTCTTGGTTGTGACATGGAAGAACTGTGACTTAAAAGAGTTACTCACATCATGTTCACAAGTTATCGAAAGGACATTTGAGTTGTCTGAATAGCCTTCAGGGAGAGGCACAACTACGTAGGATTTGTGAAGAGAAGATGCTGGTGATAGTTTCCCACTGATATGCCCAGGAAAGTTCATACAGCTCAGTAAATGAGGTTTATGGGGTAGGGAAGGATCAGTACATAATGCATGAGGTATTGTTGTGAATCCCTTTGTATGCCTTCACAACTGCCCTTCCTCTACCAAATGTAAGAACGTTACTGGAAGCTTTCGAGACCTGCTGTCCTGCCACCTTGGTTGCTACCAATGTAAGTTTAAATGGAATTGTTTCAATTGCTTCCCTTGTAACATTTGGGCTTAAAGATGACCTGTTGCTGAAAAAGATTTGTTCCTTTGAGTGAGACTTACATAGATCAATTATTATTTGTGTGAAGGACTGCAGTACATAAATTTATTAAATGTCTAAATTTCTGAGAAAAAGGTCATATCTACATTTCAGAAAAATCTCAATTTTAATGCTTTGATATATTTAGAGTGGAGCCCACACAAATGTGGCACAAACTAATTCTGCAAGAAATTTAATGCTTTTAATTAGCCCCATGGAAATAAGTTGAGCCCAGAGCTTGTCTGCGCAGTGCTCATTATAGATTGGCTTGAGGCCAGCTTATTACTGGTCTACCTTTGAGCTGATTTTGGTATTTTTATCTTTGTGATTAAAGTAATGAGTAGCTATATTTTAAATTTAATTGCATAAGCCTATTTTCTTGTTTGCATCATATTTTTAATGTGGATAGTTCTTTTCTGTTCAACGCATCAAGTATGTAATATTTTCCCTGCAAACAGTATATATTGAAATGTACATGAAAATCTATCAAGTGTTAGATTTCTGAACAATTAATTATGTGTAGTAATATTTGATTTTGCATTCCTGTCTTAGAACTTCATGCAAATACTCTCAAAGCTTTGTCTAGTGAATACTAAAGACATAAACCTCCCTCTGTATGTATTCAAAGTTGTGTATGAGAGCATGACAATTTGGATGTCGGAGTTATTCACATCTACATCATTGTATGATCCTTCTTTTCAGGAAGTGTTAACTCACTACTTTGAGCCGTCTTCAGCAAAATGACCTGATTCAATAATTCCCCAGTTCAGCAGGAAGAAGCAACCACAAAGCCAGGTTAATTGTTGATCTGTCCATTGTTAAATTTAAACGGTCAAGTAAGAATTTGCAATTTTCTGCTTATTACAATTTAGCCTGTGGGCTTTACTCCATGCTTGGAGCATAGGAGTACGGAATCATCATTCCTTCACTATTGCTGGGTCAAAATCCTGGAATTCCCTCCCTAATGGCATTGTGGATCAACCCGCAGCAAGTATACTGCAGTGGTTCAAGAAGGCAGCTCACCACCACCTTCTCAAAGGCAAGGCCATAAATCACATGATACCCGGTTATGGTCCTACAGGTTCTGCAATAAATGCTGTCCAGCCAGCGATGCCCACATATCACAAACGATAAAGTGAAAAAAAAGGCCCAAATCCAGTGATTGTACATATCTGACATTCTCTGTATTGAATGTTGGAATTTATTATGTAGAATGAAGTAGTGGCTCAACACTTCTGGTTTCCAAATCTTCAATGATCAGAAATATGACTCACAATGTGCATCAGGATCCTGCAGAACTCTAACCTACTGATTCCAGGGTAGCTGAAGTTTGAACTTCCAATGGGCAATTCCTCTGTTCCCAGGGATCCACCAATAAAAGTCTCTAATTCTCAGCTAGAGATGGAGACTTCACAGTTCTGACATATTTAACATTTCCTGGGTAACTATTCAGCTAAGCAGGAAATTCTTAGCTGGAAAATTCCTGAGTAACAATGCAAATGACCCCACAACTCACTCTTCACTCCCCTGTCTCCAAAACTCTCTGACTCAAACTGACCTGACCTTTCTATCCTACTCAGCTTTTACCTGACCCACCTTCCACCCTATTTGCTACTGTACCTCATTCACCCTTTGCCCTTACTTGCTGTATCCACCCAACCCACTTACACACCTACATGTTTACCTTTTCACTCACCCAATACACTCACTCATGAACACATGGAGAAGCCTTTGGACATTTCAACTCTCACTTAAAGAATTCTGCAACTGGTGCTTGAAAGAGGGCACAGCTTCTGTCTAAATTTTCTTCATCGATGCCTCCAAGGTTTCCTGTGTTATTTGAGTTTGGTAAGATCCTCCTTTGGACATTTGGTCAGAAAAATCAGGGGAAGTTGGTAGTATTTTGTCTGGTCAGCACTGGAAAAAGAGTTTCCGATGCTGATCGAAAGATTTTGATCAATGTCATCTGATTGGGGACATCTGCCATCACATAGAATTTGAACCTGGAACAGAAAAGCTTCTGCCTCATAACCTTCATAGTCCATTTTTGTGCAGATTGGCAGTATGTGAGTGAGTTGAAAATACTTCAGCTTAACTTTCATCCAGCTGACCACAATAAAACTTACCTGTGCAGAGTGATTGTTGATATGCTGGGATACTCTCCTCCTCTATTGCAGACCTCCGTGGTTCGTAATTTTTACCATCACTCACTATTCCTTCATCACCTCTCCTTTGTGATTTACTTCTGTAGCATCAGTCTTTCCTGACTCCATTTCCATCTTTCCAACTGATCTAATGCATCATTTACAAAAGCTTCTCTACCTTCAACTTCATGACTATCATCAATTTTCTCCAAATTTACAGCTTGGCAACCTTGAACCTGTATGCATGTGAAAAACCAACAACAATGTCCGTTAAATTATGGTGATTTTTTTATTCTGGTTGATAACACTCACCTTTAGCTCTGTGAACCACCCTTGGATATGTAATAGTTTGTTGTATGGATGGACTGCCAAACCGCTCCCCAGTTAAACATCAGCAACACTGAAACCATCTTGTTTGGCTCTTGTCAGAATTCCATAGCCTCCTACTCAATTCCATCAATCTCCCTGGCTAAATGTAACAATGTGAAACTTTGACGTGGTAATCAGTGCTGAATTTATCTTTAGATTTAGATATTCATCACATTTTTATTTGAATCAAAGTATTCTCTGAGAGCACCTAATGCCTTATCAAATGTAGATGTAGCTTTTGTTATCCGCTTAATTATTCACTGGCCTTCTGCTCTGAGACAATGTACAACCATTGCTTTCTTTTGGATCGGTGGTTCATCTAGGTGATCCATCCCCATAACAAGCAAATAGGTCTTCAGCAGTGAAATCCTGCACATTAAAACTCTGCTCCAACACCCTCACTGCCATGTGTTCTGTTTGGAATAACTTTCTGTATATCTTATCTATCTGATATATCTCCGAGCAATGTAAACATAAATTCTAAATGCAAATTGTTTAATAAAACTTTAAACATCACAGAACTTCACAAAACTTTCAATATACATGTATTCTTTGCAGGATCCTCAGGTCTTCCACAACTCTGTAATTTCGCCACTTGATTCACCAGCACTATCCCTAATCTGAAGCAATCAAGCATCGAATCAGTGATCAGACCAACATAATCAACCATGGATGAAAACATACCATGAGACAATTTATTTAATTTTACAAATGAAATTCATTATAGAAGGAAGCAAATATAATTTCAGCTATTGCCATAATCCTGCAGATTGAGGGGAGTTTTGGCTACAGTCTAAAATAAATCTGAAGCCCTAGCTTTGTTTGTCCTCAATAAATGTCAAGAGGCACTAAACCATTTTCAGGTTTGTTGCTTATGTAAATAGAGATGATGAGTTGGAGATTCCAAAGGGATACTCCACTGCAGCTGATCAGTTTCAGAAGGTCTGGTTTCTCTATTGATCAGTATGAGCAGCAGAGGGGATCTTATCCTTTCAGCCTGGAAAGAAGCAAACCGCATTATTTTTGTGAAGCCAGAAGAAGCACTCCTCCCCCTATCTCCCGAATATAATTGATAAGGTACGTTTAAGATTGTTTTGTGGAGCAGTGCACATTTCAAAGGTCATGGATTTAGTTGTTCTCCATCTGGTCATCTCCATGTATGCAGTCCATTTCCATGGTTATGTCATCGCCACCCAGCTCTATCTTTCTACACCTACATTGATCTTTCAATTCTCAAAGTCTTTAACTCTTGCACCTCTATCTCACTCATCCCAGAACTCAAATTTCTCTGCAGCTTCACCCCAACTCACCTTGTCTCTCTAAGCTCACTGTGCCTCTGAGAATCAACTCCAGCTTCCCTTGTCTTTCCTCATGGAATAGCTGAGTATCTATTGACCTTTCTAGTGCCAATGATAGCTGATGCTATCAATAAATCCCTCTCCTTAAGTGTTCTTTCCCCTTCAAATCTATTATCATAATTCTTAATATACATAACATTACATTGCTTTCACCCCACCAATGTTGCAATAGACATCAAATACTCCCTATATCCATTTATGCTTTCAAATTGTTTCTCTCATGCTCCATCTCTTTCATCATTTACTGAACAAATTCCTCTGTTCAAATTCAACCCAATTCACAGCACTGAATAGGCCTAACCAAAGAAACGTGTGGCATTCTCTCTGACTAGGGACTAGGAATAGTACTGTATGCCTTCTCTTCTCCTCAACATTAGTCAATCTCTTTTAATTCATTTTATGTCCAAGCATGATTCGGTTCCTATCTCTCCAAACATAACTAACTAAACTTTCATAATGATATCTTTTCCGCAATATGCATAGGTGCTTCTGGAGTCCTTGGAGGATCTAGCCTAGGCTCCCAAACCTTGCTTAATTGCAAGCTGTACCTTATTGACACTCCACATTACTGCCTCTCCACAAGTTCCTTCAACCCCTCAATTGTCTCTGGACTGTTTGGCTACTGATCCATTTTCCCACAACATTGGGAAGGACCATGCCACCATTGTCAATCTTCAAAGCAAACACCATTCCCTTGTTACCAATTTCATCCCTTCGCCAGCTGCTGAGTCAGCCAAACCTTCCATGACCTTGATGTACCTCAAACCCTTGTCATTTTTATCACAGAGTTTCCTGCTGCCAGCAAGAGATTGTTTGCTTCATTTCTACCTGGACCTCATTGATATCAAAACCTCCATTCTTACTTTCATCACTTCCAGACTTTATTTGTCAAATGTTCCTATTCCTCATAAATTTCAGTGTGTCTAAAATATTGCTGCAAACAACCTGTCCAACAAAAAAAAATCCTGTTTGACCAAAATTCTTTTTTTATTCATTCATGGGATGAGGGCGTCACTGGCTAGGCAGTATTTTATTGCCCATCCCTAATTGCCTAGATAGCAGTTAAGAGTCAACCACATTGTTGTGGCTCTGGAGTCACATGTAGGCCAGACTAGGTAAGGATGGCAGTTTCCTTCCCTAAAGGACATTAGTGAATTAGATGGGTTTTTCCAACAATTGACACTGGATTCATGGTCATCAGTAGACTCCTAATTCCAGATATTTATTGAATTCAAATTCCACCATCTGCTATGGTGGGATTTGAACCCAAGTCCCCAGAACATTATCTGGGTCTCTGGATTAACAGTCCAGTGATAATACCACTAGGCCATCACTAGCCTCAAGCATAAATAATTTTAACTCTCTTTTTAAATCTGTCCATTATCTCATCAACCCAATTTCTTCTAACCCTATAGTTATACCTAGCTTGACTCCTTTGAGCACCTTATTCCTCAGACCCTGACCTTGGTGTATCCATCCCCATGCCCTTCCACTCTTCGCTTATCATTGGTGGCAAAGCAATTAGGTGGAAAGAATCCTATTCTCTGAAATTCCCTTTCCAACCTTTTATTCTCCTTGAAAAGACTTCTTAAAACTCATCTCTTCAAAGCAAACTTTGTGCCCTAATTTGTAATCTCTGGTTCCACATTGGTTTTCAGAACCAGTTTGAAGTAGCTTTGAATATTCCCGACATGAGATGCAATATATCAATCATTTTGTTATTATTCTTGTAGAGGTAAAGTTCCAAAGGTTGAATTTGTCGATTTGAACAATGTGTATTCTGTATATTCAATCAGAGAGGCCAGGGAATTGGTGAGTCCATGACATTGTATGTGTAAGCATTGCAACAAATGGCTTCTTCATAGGCAATAAACTCCATGACCAATAAATTGAAAAGAGTTCCACTCTACATATTAGGGAATAGCACCTCAGAAGTCAATGACTTAGTCTTGGTAACAACCATGACCTTGGCAACCCCATTCAAATAGCCCATGCCAGGTTCCAAGAGGTTATACAGGAATGCACCTTTAGACTCCGCCATAGAGTCAGCCTGCCAGCCAGGTCTAGCAGCATGGGCAAGGAGATCTCAATAATCTCAACAGCATGTTGTGTCATCATGAGCAGATATCCTCAAAACAGCTCATGAAATAACAATGCTGTGCCCAGCTTTAGGGAAAAAGTGCAACTTATGCTTAAAGTGGAATAATTTCGTGAATCAATTTGTGAATCACTTTTGCAGAGGGTCATCAAGAACACTTTATCTGTTTGACACATGGCAGAGTTTTTTTTTCCCTGAATGTGACTTATGACATGTATATACAATCACATAAGGCAAAGCAATAGATTGGTACATGTGAGCATTTGGTGGATGCCTACCAGTACCCCTATTGTGGCAAAGCTTCCAGCAGGACATATGGATAGGAAAGCCTTGCCAGTTCTCAGAGTGTAGCAAGTTTTATTCAGAAGACAGCTCTAGATGAACATATGAAGACTGTAGCCGAACTTATATCAGATCATAACTTTTGCATGTCATTGTCCAGTCTTCAGCCATTAAAATCAGTTAACAAGAATGTCAGAGCGAAGATAAATGAAATCAGAAGTCGACCTCAAAGAAATGATGCAATGTACATATACTTGTTGTTACAAATGATTGATTGAATTGAAAACAAGCTCTTTCTTTAAAAAGGGTGGAAAGGATATACTCTTTCATAGTTTGTTTTCATCAATGTTCATTATGAGATTCTGATCACAAATCTTGGGACTTTGATATATTGCTTAAGTCTGTGGGTGAAGTTAATGAATCAAGCATGACCAGTACAGAGTTTTCAGTCCTTGATCAACATGATGAGAAAGATGGGGAAATTGTATGGGATAGCCAGGAAGGAACTTCTGGATGTTGAGAGTGAAAAGTCCCATTTTCCAACCAAGTTTTGAATGATGAGATTAGAGTGGTGAGAGACCTATTTGCATGAATGAGTATCTTATTTAAACTTGCTTCCATAATATGCTATCTTATGGTTTTCCACTATCCCACTTGCCAGATAGAAACTAGACTGTGATAATTCCCGACATGAACATCGGAGCAGTTACTCAGTGGCTCCAACTCGACGCTTACTCCTCCAGACCTCCATTTGAACATGCAGCACCAATATCTCTGAGCACACTCCATAGACGATGACTGTATGCATCTCACGTCCACTTGATATTTGACATATATCAGCCTCATGTAATCATTGTGGCATATCTCCAATCCACATTGAGGTTCTGCACTTCAATGCTGCACTTTGGAGCACACCGGCACCGTTCATTGCAGTGCTGCTGTCAGGACACTTGACACACAGTGATAGTTGCCCAGCTCCTGGATTGGGCTAGGGAGCATCTCAGGGCTGCTCATTCACTCACTATCTTAGTGTTCACTCACTTTGTTACTTGTAGTAACCTGAATGAGAGGTGCAGTCCTAAACCATGGCACTGTTGGTCACCATCAAGGTGACAGCTGTGTTGAACTTTTGTGCAACTGGTTCATTCCAAGGAGTCACTGGGGTCCTATGTGGGATCTCTCAATTATCCACCAATAAATGTAGCAAGTCTTCTACTATTTGTGTCAGATTGCACCGCTTCATCTCATTTTCCTGTGACAATGTCAGTGTTGCAGTCTGGGCTGTAGGCTTTGGCAAAATAGCTGGTTACCCCCAGGTGTAGGATGTAATAGAATGTACACGAGTCTCATTGAGAGGGCACATTGATGACTCAGTTGCATTCTGACATGGCCCTCTCAATGACACTCATGTACATTCTATTACGTCTAACACCAGGGGGTAACCAGCTATTTTGCCAAAGCCTACACATGTGTTCATGTGTACCACATCTTACCACAACAGCGAGCTGCCATGATGCATATGTCATTGAAAACTGTCACCTTCCTGCTGAGTTTCAGTGGTCAGATAACTTTCAAGATTGGTTACTGGGGGAACGAGGGCTACACAATGTGATCCTGATTGACGATGCTGTTACACAACGCCCAGAGTAAAGTGAAGTGTTGATGCAGCTGATTTTTTGAGTGGACCATGGAGTAGACATTATACACTGTGGTGATGAGTTCCATTGCTTGGATCAAACTTGAGGGGCCTTACAGTATATTCCAGACAGTGTTTGCCGCATAATCATAGCATGCTGTGCTCTGCATAACTCAAGCAGGCAAAGGGAGGATTTGATGGAGACTGACAAGTTGGAAGACTGGGAGCAGTCCTCTGAGGAGGAAGATAAGGACATTGAACAAGAGGACTATCACCTACTTTCTGATAGAGTGCAGCAATGAAGGCACAACAAGTGAGATAGGACTTAATTGAAAGACAAAGGGTCCATTTCTGTTCCAAAAGGCAAATTCACCTTTTTTGGTTTGTTTTTCCTTTGCATTTGCTGTTAGTGCAGAAAAGCGACTGGATTGAAGCATTTAAATGCTTTCCTTACTGTTATAGTCCCAGGTTGAACAATGTTAAGATGTTATCTACACTAGGCATCCGCAAAAGAGTAACACTGACCTGGACAGGGTCGTAAGATGGAATATGGCTAATGATGGGTAAGCTCTAGACCTGGTGTTTAAACAGTGATAGTTGTAGGAATGTGCACTGGTATGATCAATGAAGTGTCAACGATGCTGTTTATGTGCTCCAAGAAGCATTAGTTTGTGGTTGCTGCCCCATTGCATTCGTAGTGAAGATGAACTCGGCACTGCCAGTGTTTGACTGTGCATGGCTGTGGGTCAAAGGTGACAGTAAGGACCCTGAGATATCCCAGCAGTGATGACTACTTCCAATTACGGCGAGTGGGAGAACGTAACAAGTGGTACACCACAGGAGTGTGATACATAATTAATGAGGCAACTTTGAGTTGATAGTGCACAAAGATTTGTGGAAATAAACCCTCTATGATACTTGCCAAAAATGACCCTTCACTGAGTTCCCATAAGATTCAGACTAGAGCATTCTGGAAGTCCTAGGGATCCTGCAAACACTACGTGTTAATTGAAAATTCTGCCAAGTTCTAAGATGTTTAAAGTTCTGTGGATAAATGGTTTGAATTGAGCACAATTTCTGCATTGCTCTGAGGTAAATTAGATGTATGACATGCAGCAACTCTATCCAAAAAAAACACACTATATGTTATAAAATGCTCTGGACAGTGGCATTCTGAATTTAGGGCACACTGATGTAAACTCTCAGATTTAGTTCATATTGCTTGTGCTTGGGGACTAGACAATCAAAGTTTAATATGAATGGAATATTCTCATATTGACTTGGAAAACTGATGCTCGGACTTTCAAGTTGATTTTATAGAACTGTTTCTTTCTTTAAGAACATATGAAGGCAGCTCAGAAGAAGAAAACAACCATTACTATTCCTTATTCCAGCAAACCAGGACCAATTTGTACTGTTACAAACTCTTTCTATCTTTTTTTTTTCTTATTTGCTCATGGGATATGGGCATTGCTTACTGGGCCAGCATTAATTGCCTTTGAGAAGGTGGTGGTGAGCTGCCTTCTTGAATTGCTGCAGTCCTTGGGGTTTACGTAAAATCACAGAGCTGTTGGGAAGGGAGTTCTATGATTTGATCAAGTGACAATGAAAGTACAATGACAGTTCCAAGTCAGAATGGTAAGTGGCTTGGAGGGGAACTTGCGTGTACAGTAATGGTGTTCCCATGACTGTGTCCTTCCTAGGAGTTGAACTCATGGGTTTGCAAAGACATTCTCATTGTTTTATCTACTTTAGATGTGTGTGATTTATAAGTCATCAATCTTTGTCTATCAAATCTGGGTTTGCTTCATAACATTGGAAGGACACATTCCTAATACTGATGGAGTGATTTAATCACAATTTCAAACGTACAAACGTTAGATGATTTTAAAAGTGACTTGAGTTACTAAGTGTCATTTATTAGAAGTGTCAACCTCAGTTTGCTTTAAAATGAATGCGTTTTGACGTGTCATTCTTAAAAGTGCACATAGGGCCACTTACTTTAGTTGATTTGCATGGTCTGTCTGATTTTGTGTGTCACTCCCAATATTACCTTTGTTATGAGATCAGTGACAAAATATGGAACTTGAAGTTTGTTCCCCTACATGCTTGTAGCTATTTTAATGTGGGGATTACAAGTACTGGCAATTGGTTCTGGAGAAGCACTTATTTATTCAGATAGATGGAGCTAGCGTGTCACCTTTCAGTAAGTCAGCTCATGTCAGTGCCATTGACTTTAGATGGATGAATAACATACACTGTCTTCAGCTGAGATTGATTTGTGTTCCAAGTGATTATGATTCCTGAAGTTATTGTCATCAGTTCTCATTTTGGCTGACAAACTTTATTATTTACAAACATTATGAAATGTTATGCATAACAATGACTGCCATTAACTTTCATGAATGATACTTTTCCTGTTTGCATCAAGAAGGATTTTTTTGTAAAACTTTCACCATATTGCATCTTACAATGATGACATTAATCTAACATTAAATATTTTACTGAATCTTCATTGGTTTAAATTAAAAATGAATTTTACACATCAGAGAGGCTGGTATTATTTAACATTAACCCACATATTTTAGTGTAAATAATACAATTATTACACAGCATCACACAATTGATCCATTAGATGACCTTTATCATCCCTTTCTTATAATCCTATGTCCAGTTTATCCCAGACAGAATCCTATATGGTATAAAAACACAACATGTGAGTGAAAATCCAGCTGGGTCTGATTTACTGTAGTTGATATTACCTGAGTTCTGATGAAGAGTCACCAGGCTCAAAATGTTAACTCTGCCTTTTCCCCAGAGATGCTGCCAGACCTGTTGAGTTTTGCCAGCAATTCCTGTTTCTGTTTTTGATATCGGAATTTTAGGAAAAAATATACATGGATAAAAGGTGTTATCTTGTCAAGATAAAAACAGCTATACACTATTTGTCAGCATTTGACACTATGCTGAGAATCCCCTGTGCTATCAGTTGGAAGCATGCTTTATTTCAGGTTACGAGGTCAGG